TGTTCCCCTTCCCCAATCCCCCAGCACTGTTCCCATCCCCCCAATTCCCCAATAAAAATCTTAAAAAAAAAAAAACAAAAAAACAAAAAATACTCCTTTAAAATTCAAACTTAAATAGATATGAATTAGTAGGTAGTGATTTTTCTTTTCTTTTCCAGGTTTGTATTTCAGCAGTCAGAAAAGTTTGCAAAGGTGGAAAACCAATACCAGTTACTGAAAATAGAAACCAAGGAATTCCAAGAGCTTCAAAGTAAAATCAGTTTAATTTCAGAAAAGGTAATTATAAACAGGTGTAATTGGGGAGATTTTCCCATTTTTCTTACCCACTATCACTCTTTTACCCCTGTTCGTAAAATTCTTTTTTCCTGCCTTTTAGACCATTACTATTTTAACTCTCACTGGACTTCCTACCTCTTTACATTCTCCCTTCAGTCCAATTTAGACTTAAATTACGTTTTGAAAAAGGAAGGATTTTTTTTTTATATATAACAAATGTTACTGTTTAAAAAGACCAATATGCTCTTTTCAATATGACCTCAGTTTTCTATTTAACTATCAAGTGTCTAGAGCACTGAAAATATGATTGATAGTTAGGTATAAAATTAGAACAGAAAAAGTAAAGATCCATCAGTGTTTTTTCTTTCTACTTGGTAAGCATATACACATATGCATATAAGAATGACTAACCTAAAAATACTGATTTTGTAGCCAAATGAAAATTAAATTTATGTCTTTGTTGTGTTTCTTCAAGCTGCAAATACAGGTGGATCATTTCTATGATTCTTAAAAATGTGAGACAAAAACTTTTTAGCTACCACGCTTAGGGGAGGGTCTGCTGTAATCAGTGAGGCATCATGTGGGCCTTACCCGGCTACTATACTAGGGACCAAGCTATCACTGGAAAACATGCCTTGTTTGTTCCTTTGCTCCCTAAACCTTTACTCATGCCGTAAGGTAGACAAGGACTTGTACTTGGCATCAGGGTGAGCAAGAATGTTATAAAAATAGCCCAAAATGAAATAGAGAATCTAAGTTCAAAAGAGAAAAGCCATGGCTGAAAATTATGCATCCACGCGAACATGTCAGGGCATTCAATTGAGCTTAGGGAACTCTGGGAAGGAGCTGTAAGAGTTGGTATTTTTACCTAGGGCTCAAGTTGGAATCTGGTTGTGAGTGTAGTTGTGGGGCCCTCCAATTGAAGGAAACATAAGATAGGAAAAATTCCAGGAGATAGAAACTAGATGTGGGTTCTCATCACAACTGTGTAACCTCGGAAAAATCACTTTAACTTCTCTTGGCCTCCATTTCATCATTTGTTAAATAAGAACAACAAGATCTTTATAAGGATAAGGTGAGATATAATATAAATGCAAACTCTTTGAAAACTTTCAAGCAGTAATAAATTTCAGGTATTAGCTTTTTTAAAAAAAAAAGTGAAAACTATTAGAATATTTTGGCAGCTCAGAAATGCTAGCTCTTGTGGTGTACTAGTCAGTATATATTTTCAGATTAAATCTTGAGACCTTATTATCCTGAAAAGTTGTTCTTTTCAATCTTTGAGGTCTGCTGGGGGATGTTGTCTCCAGGTTATAATGATGCTCTGATGAACAGCCCAAACTAGAAATCACCTCGGGTGAAGATGAGCTCTCCTCTTCAAAATGCTGCTAGTAACACAACTAAAGCTAACGTGTTACCCATGTACAAGCATTTCTCAGAACTGGTGTTTAGAGGAACTTGTATTATGGCTACATGTGTATGTTAAAAATAATTTTTAAACAACGTGGCAGAGTGGCCTCATTTTATTCAGTAATGTTGCACGTGTTCCCAGCTATCACCTGGAACTGCTTCAGGTCTTGATTGGCATGGGCCCAGAAGGTTTATGGCCATTCTTCTTCCTAAACATCAAAAAACATGTTCCTTATACCCTGAGATAAGGGGAGTATAAAAATGCACAGGACTTGGTCTCTTCCCCTAAGAAATTTAAAAGCTCACCTATCTTCACCTGGCTCATGCATCAGTCTGTTAAAGAGTCAGATTTCAGAGTCACTTCTAAGCCTTGCCTCACTAACCTCCAGACGTCTGATCTCTCCTCTAAGCATCCATTCTCCAATGCTAATTCTGTCATGACACCAATCATAATCTATTGTGATTTTTTGTTGTTTTGTCTCCTTTACTACTCTTTAGAGCAAACACCATGTCTTTTATCTCTCTATGTCTACTGCCTAATAATGGAACAGAGGACACTCGATGAATCTTATTGGTACTCTAGAATATGTGATGTAAAAAATCCAAAGCACTATCTCCCCTATCAAATTGTGAAGCCAGGAACTATGCTGTATCTATATTTTTATGTCCAGGTTTAGCACAAGGTCTGGCACAGAGCGAACACTCAAAAATTCTTGAATTATACAAGTATGTGCTAAGTGCCAAATAGGTGGCAAATACATAATAATAGGGGCTACAGGAGTTCAGGCTGTCAAGTCCTGGGCTCTGGAAGTATTCAGCACTGAGGAGCTGAGATCAGGCCTTGAAGGAAGAACAGAACTTAGCTAAGCAAAGAGGAGGAAAGAATAGCATGTAGAGAGGTTATGTATTTTGGGACTTCATCCTAGAAGTATAGGAAACATTGTGGGTTTTTTCATGTTGTACCATGATGTGCATAGCAGTTTCTTAAAAAGCTTAATCTGGCTGTAGTGTGTAGGATGATTTACAGAGGAAGTAACCAGAAGCAGATATTAGATAATACTTCTAGAATATTTTCCTTGATCAAGTCTGGTTTGAATGGCCCATGTTTGTGCTTCCGTAGTTCCTCCTGTCATACCGCACGTAGACTTGGCTTTCTCCCCACTTCAACTAAGCTGCTTAAGGGCAGAACTGTATCTTGTACAGTATTGTATCTTCAACACAATGCTGTAAACACTTGATAAATTAATTTCATTTCTAGGCCTTTTTGTAGTCTCTATGGCTGTTATCTATGTGTGAGTATAGACTAAGAGAGGTCCACCACCTGGCCCTTCCATGTTCCGGACACATACTAAGACATGCCAGGAGCTTACCATAATTTGCAGATACTTAGAACATATTACTATTTGATATGAGTTATCTCACCAAACTGGTTTTTTATTTATTTTTGCTTTTGTGATATCTGTAAGATCTGATCTGGTACCTTCTCTGCAGAGTTCAGTCAACAAGATTTTTTTTTTCAGGCAGAAACTCTTTCAGTCATTGAATTTAGGAAAGTTCAATTTTATAACTAAGTTACACTTTCTAAAAAAGCCAAATAACCATTAAAAATGACAACTAAGTTACTGTCCATTGGAGTAAAAAAAAAAAAAAGAGGGGAGTGCATACACTTCCGGCTCCGTTAACATTATCTTTCACTTGAATACATTCCATGAAAATATACAAATATGTTTTTACCATGGTGCTAATCTGTTAAATTTGTTTAAAATATGTTGACATATTTTAAGTATGTTAAAGTAATAAATGTTTTGTCAATATGATTCTGACATACTTGGATATTTTAGACATCTTCAGAATTTGAACTTGGCATGTGATTGTTAAAGTGTGTTTCCCTAATTTAAAAGTTATTAAGTAGCCTTGGGAATTGTTTTGTGTTATAAATGCAGCTTGAGTCTACTGAAAGTATCCTGCAGGAAGCTACATCATCCATGTCTTTGGTGACTCAGTTTGAGCAGGAAGTATCCAGCCTCCAAAGTATCATGCGTGACATTCAAAATAGTGAAGAGATGCTCACTCAAAAGATGCAAAGCCTTAATGAGAAATTCCAGAATGTTACAAATTTCTGGAAGAGAACCCTGGAGGAAATGAATATTAATACAGACATTTTCAAATCAGAATCAAAACATGTGCATTCTCAAGTTGCTGTCCAAATTAACTCAGCTGAACAGGGAATAAAATTGCTCACTGAAAGGCTAAAAGATTTGGAAGACAGCACACTAAGAAATATTAGAACAGTAAAAAGACAAGAAGAAGAGGATCTTCTGCGAGTAGAGGAGCAGCTTGGCTCTGATACAAAAGCAGTGGAAAAGTTAGAAGAGGAACAACACACTCTCTTTGCCAGAGATGAAGACCTGACGAATAAGCTTTCCAGCTACGAACCCAAAGTTGAAGAATGCAAGACACATTTGCCAACCATTGAAAGTGCTATTCGCTCTGTTCTCAGAGTCTCTCAGGATCTGATAGCAACAGAAAAGAAAATGGAAGACTTAACTATTCAGATGTTTAATATGGAAGACGATATGCTGAAGGCAGTATCTGAAATAATGGAGATGCAGAAAACCCTTGAAGGAATTCAGTATGATAATAGCATATTAAAGATGCAAAATGAATTGGATGTTCTGAAAGGAAAAGTTCATGAATTTATAGTATATTCAAGTACAAGAGAAAAGGGGACTTTCGAAGACTATAATCTAGAAAATAAAGGAATTGATAGTGATTTTTAAATGCACTACATTCATTTTGATGAACCATATTATATATAAATTGATTTCGTTCTGTGTTTCGTGTTATTGGTATGCCACACTGTACCCTACATTATTGGAAAAGAAGTGAGGTGTCCACACAAATGGATTATCCAGATAATCAAAGTTTATCTTTTTAAGCAATAAAACTTATTTCATTTGAATCATTTTAATAGAAATATTTCTAAAATATGTATTTCTCTACTTTTTAAAAATAATAGACTTAATATTTTAAAATATTTTTCTAGTAATTAATGGGCCTCATCATGAATTTCACCTATTGGACCCAAATATATTAATGTCTCTAGGAGCTATTGAGGAGTATTTACCTCCTCACTAAATGACCCGTTTGCTATTTTTCAAACCTTATATCTACTTCGTACACCTTTTATGCCACCTGAAAAGGTGACCACTGTCAGGTCAGTTGATAAGTGTGCCAGTCTCAGTGAGTTCTTCATTTCTTTTGCAATTTACTGTAGGCTAAGAATCCACACAACCAAGTTCTTGGGAATTTTGTCTAAAATAAAAGATAACATGCTTGGTGGAGAGCCTGGGTCCTTTGCTACGGATTAATATGCACTTCTTGAAAATTATGGAACCTAGGAAACATTTTTCCTTCTTGTTAAGGTGGTAAACTGTGTTACAGATACTTGTAAGAATTTTTAAATAAGAATAAATATGTTTTTACTGGAGGCGTTTCCTATGAATTAAGTGTGTATGCTTTGAAGTATGGACTTTCAGAATATTTTTGTATACCTGTGCATTTTTTTTAAGGTTCTGACTGTGTTGCAGACTCACGAGTTTGCTAGATGCATGATCTCTAGATAAACTATGTGTATTCTACTTACTATAAAAATACACCAAGAAGCCTGTGGCCTATTTTAAAGGGAAAAAAGCAGCATAATGAGAAATGGTGACAATTATGGTAATTAAAAGTATGTCATTATTTTAAAGAATCCCCAAACTAATTAACAAACCAAATTTGTTTTACATAGTGATTTTATTTTACTCAAAATTATATAATGGAGTCACAAGGAATAAGACATGGACGTACTGAGATGAGATTAAGCAAAGGTCTAGCCATATTTTTCTAATGATAATCAGAAATGTGCAGGGATGCGGGAGCACATAAGACTTTTATTGGTAAACTGATGTATCTCTAGAGTGTCCAAGGTTGTTGTTGAAAACTGAGTGAAGTGCATATGGAAATACTGTTCTTTCTTGTTCCTTCTTGCCAATAACCAACAGTAGTCCCAATTTTATAATGCAATTTCAGTGAAATTAAACACAAAAGAATTTGAAAGCAGTTACAAAAGAACTAGTTGTGGTCAGGTACTTTTATTATGTAAATTTGCATATTTTTGGAAAAATCCCAAACAAGTTCTATGGTAGACAGTCATGGGTCAGAAAAAAAAGCCTGGAAAACTGCTACCGTTGAAGGGCATAGCATTAATTTCTAGAATCTTAACATTAAATTTCTTGACTTCTGAATGTCTACGTTCTTATCTGTGTGCACTGACAAAATTGTATTCATTTGCTTTTATTTTCATGCTAATAAAATAGATTATAAAGTTAACTGGAAATGCTGTTTCAACCTCTGTCCTGTAGGGCAGATGTGATCTCTTGTACTCTTCACTTTTATTTATTTTTTTGGCCTATCACCATATTTGATACATTATTATTATTATTATTATTGTTATTATTATTAACTTGTATATATCATAGTAAAGGTTACAGAAAATAAATGAAAACAGGTGGCCAGTGTGCTCTATAGTGACAGTTACAAAGGGAAACAAAAACTGCTTTTCTCCAAGGATTTCATGAGAAAACTATTGTGTATGTGTATATACACATGTATCTATTCATTTATTCAGAGGTTTCCTTATAAAAAGTTATCATTAGAGAGTTTCAGATGTACCTAATTTGTCTTCCTCTGTTTCTTACATTCAACACCAATACTTGAAATTTCAAAAACTTACCTGCGTATCAAATATTAAATCTTTCCTATAGGAAAGATTACCATATTCTAAGACACCTTTTTTTGGTATCTTTGTAATTGATAATAAATTTCGTATCAATTGATTTCTGAGAGAGTACTGGGTCCATTTATTTTTTAATTAGCACATATAAATCACTGTTACAAAACAGACACCTGTTTGTTTTTTTTAAATTTCGGATGTAAAGTTTCAATGTATATTTATGTTACTATTTTCTTAAATTTTGCTTAATGGTTAGAAGCTGTTGACTAAGTGTACTTTTATATTTTATAATGAAAAATGTTGATTTATTAGCCTGTATGTTTTCATAGAAAACTAAACTCATAAGATACAAAGTTAATGGCATTATTTTTAACCTTAACCTAATTGTAGACCTTTGTGTGAATTTATAATCTTGATCACAGCTTAAAATAATGCTGTAAATTCACCAAACACACGCGCACACACACAAACTCTTCTCTGTAGACTTAGCTCATATTTGCACAGTTGGCAAAAGCTATGCAAATTCACCTAGTATCTGTTCAGCTATGAACTATTAATTTAATACAAACCAAAGTGCTCCATCCCAGCTTTACACAGCAGGGGAGGAAACTAACATTTTGGAGCCTATTATATGTCACTGCTAGGGATCTCCATTCATCACCATCATACTAACAGCTCCATATATTGAGTACCTAGCATATCTCAGTCATTCTGCAAGGCACTTTGCATGTATTATCACTAATTCTCACCACAGTTTTGCTAGCTATGGAGACCCATTTTACAGCTGAGGAAATTGAAACAGCAACATTAGGAATCTTGCAATCATACTGCTGGGTCTGTCCAACTCCAGAGGCCACTGACCTCCCATTATTCAATGCAACCTGCTGCTGTTCAACCAGGGGAAGAAAAAAAAAGTCACAAGAAATCTGTCAGAACTATCTTAAGAATTCAAAAAGCTGTAATTCAGCCAAAGTTGGTGGATGCCAAACGGGAACTATCATATCGCCATTAAACCAGATTGTAACTCACTCAATAGTTGTAACTATGACCTCAAGTTTTTTCGGCGTTGGGCATAGGAAGGAATCTATAAATGTTTAGGGAAGATGGGGGAAGCAGTGGTGGAGAAAGAGCCCTAGACAGGAATCTTCCAATCTAGGCTTTGCTACTAACAGTGTTTTGGGCACTTGATTTTGAGGCTGTTTTTAATTTGTAAAATGAGGGTATTGTATCAAATAATCTAAAATCTCTTCTGGCTTTAAGTGGTTTTAAATTTTAGAGATCAGTGCAATTTCCAGGTCATTTAGTGCAGTTCAAAGATCCTTTAGCAAAGCTTTTGGAAGGTCATTTGGACCCAGAAATGATTCCTTTCAACCATGTTGCTGTGCTGTAGACCCAGACAATAGTTACCATTACTGGACAGCATCTAGCTTAGCACTTTGCATATGTATAGGAACTTGGTAAATATTCAAATTACTGGCTGAATCTTTTGAGCTACTGATAGACTAACTCTTCTGTCCATCCTGGGCAAGTAGCTTAAACAAGCCATAAGTAATTTTTTAAAATAATTTAGTAAAACAATTTCTAGACTATTTCTGTGCTGTATTTATATTTTAGTAGGGATCAACAGAAGTTCATGATAAATTGCTTTTATAAGCTACCAAGTGAAACAAAGTCTTACTAGCAGTTTCTTAATTATCTGATCCTTCTAAGAATAAACTTAGCTCTTTCTGAGGTGTCATAATTGTGTAATGCTGTTAAGCTACATTTACACTACCAGAGTAGATACATTAATAAATGATAACCTGTAATGAAATAGATGAAAGTAAGCCATCTTTTACCCTTGGGGATCTTCTCTTTCAGCAAATACACTTTATTGCAAAACTTTCCCCTTAAAAATAAAAGGTGGCTTTGCAATCACCTGACTTCCTTCCTGTTTGTGACTTTCTCATTGTCATACCCACAATAACATTTTTATAATCTAACTTCTCTATCAACAGAAATTGGGGGCCAGCTCCCCCACCAGTAATTAATGTAGTATAAACCTATTGAGGAGAAAAACCCTAAAATATATTTTGAAACCAAACATACATGAGGCAAGGAGGGGGTGTTACTGCTTTGAGTTTACTGTTCTGCTGCCCCTTTTCAGCTTGTTCCTTTGCAACTATAAAGCTGCTCCTTCTTAAAGCTTCCATAAAAGTAATAGTACAGGCATATTAAATTTTTATTTGCAGTAAACAAAACTAAGTAGTTACCAAAATAATCTCAAAAGGTTAGCTGAGTAAACAAAGCAAATGCAATTTAAGAAAAGTGATTCATAAAAAATCATATTGAGGAAATACACAATTATTTTGGAAAAAACTTGATGTCTTTAAACATGTCGTTTTTCAGCATGCATATTTGCTTTTTTTTTTTTTTTTAGCTGAGCCATCCTGCCACCTGTTGGCAGCTCAGCAGCAGCTCAGCTCTGGCTGGGAATCAAACCGCTGTTGCTCAGAGCTCAAACCCTTGAGCAAGCTCTTAACCAGCTGAGCCACTCGGCCGGCCCCATATTTGCTTTTTATTCCGTATTTTTTCTCAATTTTAAAAAATCCATTTACTGACATTTTCTTTCCCAAACTAAACTACAAACTCCCTGAAAGCAGAGACTGTTCTTGATCATACTAGCACAGCAAATGTTGAATCAAACTGGTTTTGATTAGTACAAAGCTATAGACAATCTCAACTTTAAAACAATGCTTTCCTAGAAAATGAGCTTAAAATGAAATGTGCACAAGTCAAACAATTGACACACGTTATAACTGGGATTCCCTTTTTCAATGTAATCACAATGGAAATCTGTCTTAGGACACAGGCTTTGTCGATATATTTTATATTCTTTAATTTTTTTCTTTATTGTTGAACACAGTCCACAGGCTTAATCTTCTGATTGAAGCTTAATAATCTCACTTGACAATTCCTATCTTTATTTTTTAAATTGAATAAATACTTGGCATATAACAATGTGTAATATTAAGGTGTACAATGTGTTGCTTTGATAAATTTATATATTCAGCTATGTAATGGAGGATATCCTGCCATTTGCGACAACATGGATGAAACTTAAGCACATTTGTTTTAATTTTCTATTTTTATCCTTTATGAGATCCATCTTACCACTATAATTAGCACTTTAAATTTTCCCTTTCCTATCTAAATTTTATTAACTGATGGCACAATGCAATAAAATTTCAAATATTCAAAATACAATAACTCAACTTCCCCAATACCTCTATATAAACACACACACATGCACACACAAGCAACAAAAACTACAACTTGAAATGTTGCCAGGCACCTGTGCGGCTCAAAATGTTCATCAGCTAACGTGTCCAAGTTAAACCAAAACACTTCAGCAATACCAGCATACACTGGAGATGTGGGGAAGGAGGATGGCACTGAAACATACGGGAGTTGAGAACCACTTGTATTTGGAATAATGGAATTTTAGAACCTTGGGAGATTGTTTTGTTTGCTTACATGTCCGTCTTCTCTACTAAACTAAGCTGTACACATCTTTATGTCCCTCAGACCAGGCATGCCTAATAACATAATAGGAACTTAAGAATTAGTTGAATTAGTCAAGGTCTAATTGATACCCCAGATTATTTATAGAAGTAATGGAACAATAAAATGTATACAGTCTTGGACGTTGGTCCCTTCATTCTAGCACTTCTTGTAACTACAAACAACTTGTGTTTCAGAAGTTATGTTGCATTAGATGGGAAAAGGGTGGGAATAAGGGAGAAGGGGAGGGGAATAGCACAGATTAGTAACTATATGCAATATTGCCATGGGGATATGAAAGACAGTTTGGGGAATGTAATCAATAATGTTGTAAAGATTTTGTAGGGTGTCAGATGGACACATCTTGTTAGGGAGACCACTTCATGGATGGTGTAGATACTTGACCACCGCACTGTACACCTGAAGCTGAATATTTTATGTCAACTATAATTTTATATATAATCACAGGATGTGGAGTATAGCATAGGGAATAGAGTCAATGGAATTGTAATAGGTACATACAATGTCAGGGGCAATAGATTGAGGAAGGGAGGTTATCACTTTGTGAGGGGTGAAATATCTAACTATTACATTGTTATGTACACCTGAAACAAATAAATACAAAAGAAAAAAAGTTATGTTGCCTTGTTTGACCCCTCAAATCTACCAAAGCTCATCTAGAGGAAGCTCCCTCCTCCCTTCCCCAGCCACCGAAAAAAGTCATCATTTAGCTAATTTTGTCACTGTATAGAGGACTGATGGTACAAAAATAACTGAAAAATGTCATTTCCACTAATATTTTATGGTATTGTTTTCCTTCATTAGTAATACACTTAATACATCTTTACCAAATGCTTTCCAGAGGAGCAGTGAAGTTATGGTTAAAAGTAATAAAATTTAAGTTGAATTTTAAATGTTAAGCTTTTAATCAATTTAATTATTGTGGTATTATATTTTCTTATAGTGTCAGAAGTCTGAAGCTATCATGGAACAATTGAAGTCTTTTCAAATAATCGCTCATCTAAGGCGACTACAGGAGGAAATTTATGAGGTGAAAACTTGGTCCAATAAGATAACTGAAAAACAGAATATATTGAATATCAATTTGACAACTCTTTCTCAGGATGTTACAAAAATAGACCAAAGTACAATTTCCATGGCAAAAGATGTTGGTCTCAAGATTACAACTATAAAAACAGATATACGACGTATTTCAGGTTTAGTAACTGATGTAACATCATTGACAGATTCTGTGCAAGAACTAGAAAAAAAAATAGAAAAAGTAGAAAAAAATACAGTAAAAGACATAGGTGATCTTCTTTCAAGTAGCATTGACCGAACAGCAATGCTCCGAAAGACAGCATCTGAAAATTCACAAAGAATTAACTCTGTTAAGAAGATACTTTCGGAGCTAAAGAATGATTTCAGCAAGCACACAGATAGGTTTTTAAGCTTAGAAAGTGACAGAGCTAAAATTCTGAAGACAGTGACTTTTGCAAATGATCTAAAACCAAAGGTGTATAATCTAAAGAAGGATTTTTCCCGTTTGGAACCATTAGT